CAGGAATGTGATTTGAAAAGGAAGCTAATTAGGGTATATTCAGTGTTAATGTGCTTAAAGAAGGATCATAAAACCCCCTGAAATATCTGTCTCTTCAACAGATATAAGTAAGATTTTCTGGTAGTGAATGAATAATAGAGAATTTCACACCTGTTTAGTCAAAAATGTGTGTTGGAAGTTGTGTTTAAATATGAATAATAAATTACCCATCTGGTTTCCATTCTAGTGGGAGAGACAATCTCTTGAAGTAGAGACCCCTCTGAGCAATTGCCATCAAAAATGAGCCTGTTCTTGCCAATTAACTTAGCAAACCAGTGTTTCTGATTATCCATACTGTATCCGTGTTACTTCCCTTCAGGGATGTGTTTTATACTGAAGAAACCAATTTTCTCTGAGATAAAATGGAAATGTAGTTTTGGCATAGTTTTGGGATTATTTCTGGGCAGTGTGGATGAGATGCTGCTTGTTTGTCTGCCTTTTGTAGCACTATCCCGATAGGATTTACACGCTTAGCAAACCCATGTGTGCACTCCCAGAAGGGAGGGCTGACAGAATTGTGCTACCAAAACTACTGTGACTCCTCTCAAATTTCAGGTATTTTGTCCAAGGCCTCATCGCAGCTACAGGCTGATCTGGGATATACTACAAATCCTCTTTCTGAAAGTTTAAAGTCTGTAGTCACAATTGGATTCCAACAGAAACAGGATGTTCTACAAAGTATTTCAATAGTGGAGAGCAAATTTGCAGTGTCCTGTTTTGGCCCCATCCCTTTCCTTCACAGCTGTTAGAAGGTTTGGCAGAGCTGATGCAATGTGAGGAGCCAGACACCAAGTCTGGGAGCAGGGATGTGAGTGTGTGTTCTTCCTCCCACCCCAAAATGAACCAATGACTTGGCTGCTTTGGGAACTGCACTGTTAGCAGTATCATTTTTGTAAACTTGTTTTCATGCACCATCAGCTGAAAAGAATGTTTACTTTAAATGGACAGACAATATGGGTCTGACATGTGCATGTCTTGGGTGTGTCTTCTATTTTTATTTTTTTTAGTGAGTCTATTTATTGGAAAGCACTGGGGATAAAGCCACAACAGACATATTACAAGCTCATATAAAACATCTTATCAAAGTCTTTTATAATGCCTTCTAGGCTGAATGATCTGTAAGGTCCATTCCAACCCCTAAATTCTATGATTCTGTGATTCTATGAAGTATGCCCTGATACAGACTTCACTAAAACAACAGTAGGTTGTCATAACAGACAGGAAGATGTCTATGTGTTTCCTTGGACCTTTGCATCAAAGCAATTTAATGTTGTATTTTCTAGTCAGTACAAACTACTATGCTCAGATGAGTTGATAAGCTGATAGAGAAAGCCACAGTGCTCATGCTGTTTGTTGTGGTTGGTCAGTGTTCCTTGAGCATCTATTGCATTCAGAACATAATTTGTGCCATGTTTGTTTTCAGTATATTTATTCAAATACTCTTGAGTCACATGGAGATTATGACTGCACTAATAGCACTAACACAGTATCTCATTTTATGAGTTTTGATGTTTTTGCAGTCTCTTTTCTTGTTGC